ATGTGGAAAGTCTTCTTGGGGCCTGGGATGGGGTTGAGGGGGGAGGTATGGGGGCAGGTGTAGCACTTCCTGCGGTTGCAGGGAAAAGTGCCGGGTGTGGTGGAGCTGGAGGGGAGTGTGGAGCAGACAAGGGAGTCACGGAGAGAGTGATCCCTCCGGAAAGCAGATAAGGGTGGGGAGGGAAAGATGTCTTTGGTGGTGGGGTCGGATTGCAGATGGCGGAAGTGTCGGAGGATGATGCGTTGGATCCGGAGGTTGGTGGGGTGGTACGTGAGGACGAGGGGGATTCTTGCATCTGACTTTCATGCTGGGAATTGACACCATCTAGTTTCTCAGGGAAGGAGAGGAAAATTGAGATCTGGACAGAATTTATTTAAGTTTGTAATAATGAGATGCAAACACATGGAAGTAAGGTGCTTATTAGTGAGAATTTGGACTTGCAGTTTAAACCTTAAGGGGCAGAAGCAGAATTTTTTTCTCAATGTCAAGAATCTGTTTTTTTCCATTTTTGTTGCATTTTCCAAATCTTTTGCCATTGCCTGCACTGCTCCTAAATTTCCACCCAATCTTATTCTTATTCTCTCCTCTTTTGTTTTGTTAGTTTCTTTTCTTTGTTTCTACAGTGTTCTTGATTTTGTTGTTTCTTTTGTGCATGTGGGTTCTTTCAAGCCCTAAGTGATCTTAGTAGGAATGAGGATAGTTAGCTTCCTGGTCTAACGAGAAGAGCCTTATTGAGTAAACAATATGAAGTTTATTTCATTTCTGCAGCTATTTACAGGTCGCTTGAATTTGAGTTATGTCATGAAGGAGACTTTTAGGAGCACATTAGTCTCAGGTCTCTTTGGAGTTCCTTCTTTTCTTTGCCCAAGTGCCCATGACATTGGGTGGTACTTGCTGCACTCTATTAAGTATTAACACTTTTAGACCCAAACAACAGATTCCCTCTTCAGCATCACAGCCTGACCCCAACCTCAACTCTTCAACCTTCAGTCCATCTCAAATGATCCTTGTCATGTCTCAGTTCACCTCAGTTTTTCTGTCTTGCTCTTCTCTCTTCCTACCAACCTACCATCTAAAATCCTGGACATTGTCTCATCCACCAGAACTCTCAATGTCTTTAAGGTTAATGGTTTATTGAATCATGGCATTATACACAGTGTAGAAGGCTACTCAACTTGAAGTCTGTGCTAGTTCTTTGACAGAGTCATCCAGTTTTTGATCCACTGCTCCTGTTCCCCCATTGATTATAATATTTTTTCCTCTTCCCCTGTTTATTCAATTCTCTTGTGAGTGTTGATATTGCCTTGATCACCCTTTCAGGCAGCAGATTCCTAACAAATGCAACCCACTACAGGACATAAAAGAGCATTTAAGTTTTACCAATAATCCAAAAGGTTAACATAAAAACTTTGTTAATTGGGAAATATGATTTCTGCACATATCTGAAATTTTCATAAATTTTGAATCATGATGAATTCTCTATAATTCTATGACTCTATAACTGTTTTCAAAAATGATCTTGCATTCATTAACGGTAATGCAAAACATGAACAATTCAAGAAGATTAAAAGCTCCAATACTAACTTGGTAACCACTGTCTAGTGATAAAATAGGTAATGAAAAGATCAACTGATCGACACTAGTCCATCCTTATCATTGCTCTCTTTGTAAAGTCACAAAAAGACACATTGAAAGTTCTAAATTGGGGCAAGGCCAATTTTGATGGTCTTAGACAGGAACTTTCAAAAGTTGATTGGGGAAGGCTGTTTGCAGGCAAATAGATGCCTGATAAGTGGGAGGCTTTCAAAAGTGAGCTAATGAGGGTTCAGGACCACCATGTTCCTTTTAGAGTGAAGGGTAAGGCTGGCAGGAGTAAGGAACCCTGGATGACTAGAGTTATTGAGGCTCTGGTCAAGAAGGAAAAGGATGTACATGACATGTATAGTCAGCTGGGATCAAGTGACATCCTTGAGGAGTATAAAGGGTGCCGGAGTACACTCAAAAGAGAAATCAGGAGAGCTAAAACAGGACACAAGATGGCTTTGGCAGAAAAGGTAAAGGAGAATCCAAAGCAATTCTACAAGTACATGAAGGGAAAGAGAATAGGGAGTGAATAGTACCTCTTTAAGATCAACAAGGTCATCTATGTGCGGAGCCACAGGAGCTGGGTGAGATCCTAAATGAATATTTCTCTTCAGCATTCACAATCAAGAAAGATATGGATGCTAGGGAACTTAGGGGAAATAAATAGTGATGTCCCGAAGAGAGTCCACATTACAGAAGAGGAGGTGCAGGGAGTCTTAAACGCATTAAGGTAGATAAATCCCAAGGATCTGATGAAGTGTATCCGAGGACTTTGTGAGAGGCTAGGGAGGAAATTGTGCATCCCCTAGCGGAGATGTGTGAGTCATCAACAGCCATGGGTGAAATATCTGAAAATTGGAGGGTGGCTAATATTGTACCATATTTAAGAAAAGTAGGGAACTACAGACTGGTGAGACTAACGTCTGTGGTGGGTAAGTTGTTGAAGGAGATTCTGACAGAAAGGACCTGCAGGCATTTGGAGAGGCAAGGACTCATTTGAGATAGTTAGCATGGCTTTGTGTGTGGGAAATCGTGTCTCATGAATTTGATAGAATTTTTTGAAAGGGTGACCAAGAAAGTAGGTGAGGCAGTGCAGTAGACATTGTCTGCATGGTTTTTAGCAAAGCTTTTGACAAGATACCTCATGTTGGGTTGTTGAGTATGGTTAAATCTCACAGGATCCAGGAAGAGTTGGCCAATTAGATAAAAAATTGGCTTGAAGGTAGAAGTTAGAGAGTGGTGGTAGAGGGTTGTTTTTCAAACTGGAAGCTTGTGTGCAGTGGTTGGTGCTGTGTGCACTGATATTTGTCATTTATATAAATGATTTGGATGAGAATTTAGACAGTATGGTTGGTAAGTTTGCAGATGACACCAAGATTGGTGGCACAGTGGACAGTGAAGAAGGTTATCTCGGAATACAGCGAGAACTTGGTCAACTGGGCTGAGGAGTGGCAGATGGAGTTTAATTTAGATAAATGCAAAGTGTTGCGTTTTGATATGTCAACCCAGGGCAGGACTTACACAGTCAATGGTAGGGCCCAGGGGATTGTTATAGAACAAAGAGATCCAGGGTTACAGGTTCATAGCTCCTTGAAAGTGGACACACGGGTAGACAGGATGGTGAAAAAAGCTTTCAGCATGATTGCTTTCATTGGTCAGAGCATTGGGTACAGGGGTTGGGATGTCTTGTTGCAGCTGTACAAGGTATTGGTAAGGCCACATTTGGAGTACTGCACACAGTTCTGGTCACCCTACTATTGAAAGGATATTATTAAACTAGAAAGAGTGCTGAAAAGATTTACCAGGCTGTTACCTGGACTGGAAGGTTTCAGTTATAAGGACAGTTCAGATAGACTAAGACTTTTTTTTCCCTGGAGCATAGGAGACAGAGGGATAACCTTATAGAGGTATATAAAATCATGAAAGGCGTAGATAAGGTAGATAGCCAACAGCTTTTCCCCACGATAGGGGAGTCCAAAACTAGCAGGCATAGGTTTAAGATGTCAGGGGAGAGATACAAAAGCATCCAGAGAGGCAATTTTTTCACACAGAGAGTGGTGACCATCTGGAATGGGCTGCCAGAGGCAGTGGTGGAGGCAAGTACATTTTTGTCAGCTAAGAAACATTTGGACAGATACATGGATGGGATACATGTGAAGGGATATTGACCAAACACAGGCAAATAGGGTTAGATTAACAGTGAAAACTGGCAGCATGAACAAGATGGGCTGAAGGGCCTGTTTCCATGCTGTAATCCTCTAGGACTCTAAATTACTCAAGGATTTATTATTCAGTTCAAGCTGAACAACTTCAGGAAATGTGTAGTGACTTATTCACCCTGCAATGTTTCCTATTTCCCACCTTGGTATATGACTGCTGTGTGACCGCTATTGATTTACTGTTGTCAAACACTTAACAGATTTTCATGACAAAACATTTCTGCTTTCTGATCTTCATTGTTCCTTCTCCTTCTATTTACTGCTTCCTTGTCTCTTCAGATGACTGTGACTGTGATGGGTATTTGAATGGGCTGTACATAGGTGAGAATCTAGATTCTGCTAATCCATCTTATGCACTTCTTGAAGTTAAAAATCAAGACCACTGATTTATGATTTCATAGGAAAACTGTAACATTTAATCCCCATATTACCAGCAAACATCTCAGAATCAGAGAAAAAAACCAATTTAATCCTTCAGCAGTAATGAATAATGAGATAAACCAATTGCTCAATTACAACTTAAAATTTTTGATTGCGATAAACCTAAAAACTAAGAAAAATTGTAGAATCTGAGGGAATGAAACAGAATTTCATTTCTTCATATATCATGAAACTGTGGTCCTGGTTATAAATGCTTTTCCAGGCATTTGATAGACCTACAATAATTTCTTATCCAAAAATATAATTTAATTGGAACTTTAGTACTTTGTCATGGTTGTTTTTTTTTCCCCAAAATTTTGCAAATTAAGTCTGATTTCTTTTCTAACTCTTTTATTCAGAGCTGTGACTAAACAGTTACATTGTTACTAGCTTAGTGCCTCCATCTGAACCACTACCTGGGTAATTAATTGTCAAACTGTACAAACACTTCTTGCTTTTTCTTCCCCCTTTTTCTCTCATTTGAGCCCCTCTCTTTTGAGTCACTCAAAAAGGTAAAAATTCCACAGGTGCCAGTAGCTTCCACTACCTTGCTCAAAGAGCTTCCCGTTGCAGCTTAGAGAGTGGTGTCTAGATTTTCTGATCGCTGTTATTTTATGCTGACCTTAAATGGTTTATTTCAAAACAGTTACCATCAATTGGAAGACTTAGATTTGAATCATAGACTGTCACTGGGTAGGTTATCACTGCTGAGATCAATACTGTCCACACAGCTTCATGTTTCCAGAAGCTTTTCCTTCATAGTGATTAGAAGGTCATACAGTTCACATCCTTGGGCCTTGAAGCACTGCACTATCAAATGAATATATATTGAATGTATATTTGTGTTTCTATTTGCCTATAAAAGTGCCTCCAAACTCACTTTAGAATTTTCTTTTTGCAATACGCTGAAGACTGTTGACAAATGTAAAGATTTCTTAAAAGAATACACAAAGGTGAAACTGGCAGATTTCTCCAGGAAAAGTCCCACACACCATTCATGACACACCTGAGGACTAACACGTCTGTTGCACTGTATCTTACAGTCAGTATATCTCTCAGAAACATGCCCATGATATTATCACAGCATGTGGCATGAGTATATAAACGTCTTGTGTTTCATCTTACCTTGACAATCTGCTGGAAGAATGCTCCTCTGTTGTAACTTAAAGGTTTAATATTAGCCCAGACATCCATATGCCTGGGGAATGTAATGTCTGTACATAATAGTAATTTGCTATAAATATCCATTGGCCTCTTCAATACCATGCAGATACCTACTCCCAGTTTTTTGTAATATAGGGCATAGAGGTTAATGGAGGTAAAGTAAGGTACTGTAACTTCAAGCAGGTTTCCACCAAGTTTTGATGTACTTTCCAGCCATCCACAGCACTATGAAACCATGAGAATGTATTCAGCCAGGCTGGGTGGGAAGTGGCTACAAGCCTCTAGGATAGTATTTTACCGAACACCAACCAGAAATGGCCAATTTAGCATTTTGGGCAACAAATTGTATAAATTGCATAAATTTGACAGGATCTTATATAAACCAATGCCTTAAATCAATGTTCAGAAAGTCAGCTTTATACTGACCAATTTCAAGGCAATGAGAGAAGTTTAAAGAAATGAACTGGGGAAGTAAAAGAACAGTATCAGAGAAATTATAAATTAAGGACGAAGTTATGCAAATTGTACCATGGTGGATAAGTACATGCCAAGGGCTAGTGGGCATAGGTTAAAAATAAAGACCCTAAATTATTTAGTAAGGCAATACCAAGACTATGAAGCTTATATGGAAAAGGATGAATAAAACAACTGGGAGGAATTTGCGCTATCAAAAATAAGTCACAATAAAAATAGAGTCTCAAGTCAAAAAACAACCCAAGTAACTACAAACCATCAAGTCTTTCACTAATCAAAATAAAGGTGTCAGTCAAGTGGAAGAAATTTGTGGATTACTTATATATAAATAAACATAAGTAAGTTGTAGTTAACAAAAACAGCCTGGATTTATGTAGTTTCCCTAATATAAAGGACCATCCCACAGCCCTTCATTTCAGCGTTATAAAGCACAATCTGACATTACATCATTTAAGGAAATATTAAGGCACGTCCAAAAACTTAGCACAAGAGGTCATTTTAGGAGCATGTTGAATGAGGAAAGAGGTCAAGAAGAGTATTTACATGGTAGGGAAAATAAGCTTAGAACCTTTTCAGGTTAAGACACCATTGATGGAGCATTTAAAATCAGAGATGTCAGAATTAGAGGAAGGCAGATATTGTGGAGGGTTGTTGTGTTGGAGGAGATTATAAAGTTAGGGAGTGGGGAAGGCTGTGGAAGGCTTTGGAAACCAGGATCTGAACAATATAAGCAGAAGGATTGGCAATATGAGCTTAACATGGGTCTATACTATCTACCCAATGGAAACAGAACATTTACTTATTTTAATTAAAAAAAACTTCCGTGTCACTTTCCATTGTATTTATGTAGTATTTCATGCAGGGGCGTATCACTTGTATAGCTGCATTGGGCCATTGCTTCTTTTTAAAGTTGTCATTGATGATACATTTCAGCTGGTTTACGGAGAAGTTTTCGGCTCAGTAGGAAAGACCGACATGCAAACCAAAATGAAGAGAAACAGACTGAGCAGAAGGATGTAGAATATCTTACTTATGAAGAAGTGGTTGCCTACCACCGTCGTCCCAATGATGTGCACAGGCTGGTGGTACTTGTTGGTATGTTCCAGCATTCAGTAAATATAGAACAAACGCATAACTGCCTCCAGACTTTAATCCCATGCAATTAAAGAATGGCAGAGGTGGAGAGTGTTAAAGAAATCGTTCAGGAATATTGCTGCATCAAGCTCATTGCTGCTATTACTCAGTGCTGTGCTAGTATAAGAATTGTAACTGGTTAAACTGGGTAAAAACAAACCTTTTGAGTACTAACCAAAATATAAAGATACTTTAAGGTAAAGGTCAGAAAGTTCAGACGAGATGTGAGGAAATGCTTTTTGACCCAGAGAGTGGGAATCTGGAACTCTCTGCCTGTAAGGGTGTTAGAGGCAGAAACCCTCACAATATTTAACAAGTGTTTAGATGTGTCCTTGGAATCATCAGGTGGTTGTTTTTGACTTTTGTAGACTTGATGGACCAAAGGCCGTTTTTCTCTGTGCTCTAGATCTCTATGCCACTATGATTAACAGAACAAAATAATGTGGACATCATTCCTAATTTGAGTCATTGAAGTTTATTTCCTGTCTCTGTGCGTCTATGCAGGTTCTATAGGAGCAAAGGTTAATGAGATAAGACAAAGAATTGTAGCAGAGAATCCTAATCGCTATAATGTGGCAGTTCCTTGTAAGTATAAAGGTGTTTATTCATTTAACTTAAGAAGATTTGGGTTTGATGCAGACAAGTGATTGAGTGATATAAAATAATTTTTTGAACAGAAGTTAACAGACAGCAACTATTGCCAGCATTCCTAAATAAACTTAAATTATTTAGAACAGCTGGTTTAGGGTTATATTACATTACACAGCTACTGTATTTGTAGAAATTTTCAATGAGAACCTATGCAAGATTAATACCATTGTCAGGGCCTGAGATTGTATTACACGCAATAGCAGGTTCTCAGTGAGTTGATATTCTATATAGTACACATAACCATTTTAAATAAGCTTCATCATTTTTCTTTATAATGAGCTAGATGGTAAAACACATTGGGATGTTACTGCAATCAAGCTGGAGTAGGACACCATTGTTCTAGCTACAACATAAGATAAAAAAAATTTTTTTTCCAGTTATCAAGATAACTAATCTCAACTGTATCAGATTTTAAAGAAAAAGATATATCAAACATGTTTCTTTACAAGCAATAAACGCGAATATCAAAAGAAAACTTATTCAATAAAGGACAATAATTAGTTAACAGAGTCAATAATATAGAAGTATAAATGTGTAACATTCTAAATATCCCCAAAACATAAACACATACATATACTTTCTTCAGGAAAAGTGAAAAAGAAATTCTCTGTGGAGATTGGCTTTCTGAAAAAAAAACTTTGCTCAATGGGTAACTCTTGTAGGCAAAACAATAAAATCTAAAATATTCCAGAATCATTTCATCTGATGTAGTAAGTTACTAATCACTTATGGCTACCTCTGAAATCTTGCAGCACAACTTGCTTAGGAAATACAATCTTGCAATGTTTTTTTTCAATCATTCTTTCAAAAGAACAAACCAGTTTTAACATGAACCCAACCAAAGGATTTTCTTTTCAGAAATGAAGAGGATCAGCTGGGCAGCTTTTTCATAGTAAGCTTTCTTCCAATTCAACATGTTCTTTGCTGGTCTTCCTGCAACTCAGCTTGTTGTTTGCAGGCTTCCTTTCTTTTCCAATCAGATAAAATAACATCACTCAGAACCAGTTACTGTGTGAAACAACTCCAACAGCAACCCATTTAAAATAAAAGTCTCCAAGATCACTGAAATTTCAGTGAAACAGTGAATTTTCAATGACACCTTTTATGAAATATAGCCCAGGTATTTCCACAAAAATTGAAACCATTTTTCACAATCTGTCAAAACCTAAGTCCTCCAAGCAATATTAATTACCAAACATCCTTGTAACAATACCAGTTTGTTAAAGGTGGACTATTTATATCCATGGACAGCTGAAATAATCTTTAAGATTCCCTTCACTGCAGTAGAAAAACAGATTTACCCTCTTGGTGTCCTTCCCTGGTATGAAATTGAGGTGAGTCTGAAAGGGTTAATTTGAACCTTCATTTCAGAGTTAGATTCTTTCTTCAACTTGCTAGAGTGTAACTTTAGGTTTATAGACCAACAGCTGTGTTTAATGGAACTAACCAGGAGGTGGCACTATATGATGCTCTGACCCAATCAAACTTCAATAACAACAAAGGTTTTCAAGCCATTTTGTGTCCTCACCCTTGATGCAAAATTACTCATCTAGGTCCATTCAGAAGACACCCAACATTAAGGTGCATTTATGTCAAATTGTAATCATTGACATCAATGTTACTATGATGGTTACACTGCAGGTGGTGTTTTCTGATTACTTAGGAAGCTATTCAAATTCCAATTGCTTAATTTATCAGAAAGCAGTTTCAAATTTGCATACAAGCACTTCTTTTAAGTGTCTTTTAACATTTTAAGAATACCTTTTGATTTTTAAAAGAATGAATTCAAAAATTTTCCTTTTCAAACCTGTAATGCAGAAAGTTGTTTATAAAGTCCTGAGGCATGTCATAGCAATGATCTGACAATGTCCAGGAAGACCTCCAAAAAAAAGCATTTATTCTGACATATAGTGGAAGGGCAATAAGTTAAGACTCAAACAGAGGTATGAATTTTAGGGATAATTTTACTCACAGATTACCTGCAGAGATTAATGTCCAAGCGATATGATTTATTATTGGGTCCAATTTAATCCCCAGAGTCAAAAATCACATGACACCAGTTTATAATCTAACAGATTTATTTGAAAACACTAGCCTTCGGAGCTGTGCTACTTCCTCAGGTATAGTGTGGAAGAGGAGGTACATCAACACAGTATTTATAAGCAGAAAGGTAACAAACCTTAAAATGGCTCTCTGACCGCCTCCTCCTGAATCTTTAATCAGTTAGAAAGGAGATACAGGTTTCTATTAATATCTCCTTTTCCACACTATACCTGAGGAAGGAGCAGAATTTTGAAAGCTAGTGTTTTCAAATAAACCTATTGGAATATAATCTGGTGTTGTGATTTTTGAACTTGTCCAAACTCAGTCTAACACCGACACCTTCACATCATCAATCCCCTGAGTGTTTGGAGACAGATGCTGTGATGATGAGACAAGAACAGTGGATAGTTTCTTGTTTCACAACCTATTTTTCCTCATCACCATCACAAAACAAATATGCAAGGATGAGACAATCCTGCTGGGATTTGAACACCAAAGGCTTCTGCTTCCCATTGGGATATTCAATTGATTAAACTACCCATATTAATCGAAGCCTGCCATTCCAGACAAATAAAGAAGCAATCATGTGTGCCACATTCAATGATTATTATATCTCTAATGATGAGATTTACTTAAATTCAGCAACAACAAGGCAAAAGAAAGTCCATGAGAGGCAAGGACTGGAATATCATTTCGTCAGTAAACTTTCATTTGAAGCAGATATTCAGAAGAACAGGTAAGATCACTTTAGTAAAGGAGTTATTGTTTAAACATCATGAAGTCCATTATACAATGTAGTCCTCTACATCAGTTTCATTTTTAAGACAAGAATTCATGCTAACTAATTGATCTGATGTCTATTGCATTACTAAGTAGTTCTTGTTTCTATTAATAAGTCTGTTATTGCTTTATCATGTGACAGCTAGATTAGTAGGTGAAATAAATAAACCTTGCTCTTTTTTTTTGATCCAGTAAATCTTATGTTACTAAAGAGTGGGAATAATTATGCTGGCAACTATTTTGGATTGTCAGTCAGGTGAATTTGCATGACTTGGAAGATAATATATTAACACATGGGGCTTTGCCTGTGTAAACAGAAAGAACGCTTACTGCACCTGTCTTAACTCAAAATCGGTGACAGACATTCGCCAGTTCACTTCACAGGGCAATGCCTTGACCTATCAGAATTGACCTACTTGGTTTAAAATTTAAACAAACCTTCTCAGTCATCACAAATTGGTGCATTCTCCATGGCAATGTCTCTACCAATCAGCACACTGCTCTCACAGCATATCAATATATATTTTCCCCCGAAATTGATATTCTTGCAAATTGTCTTGATGAGCATAAGATGAAAAGATTCAACAAAATGGATCTTTTCTTTCAGCAATACTTAAGTTCTGTACTACCAATTGAAAATTTAACCTGCTTTAATCCCTTGTAAAAACATGTATTCGTATTATATGCCTATTTAAAAGCCTTTATAAGCACTTGGAAATGTCAAACTGTGAGATGCAGACATTCCACTGTGATAATGATAGTTTGTAAAATTAATCACGCAGTATTGATCCTGTGACACAACCCCTCAAGTTAATATTAAAAAAACAGAGTGAAATAGGAAATACTTTAAAAAAATGTCTACAGTTTTTTTTTCTTTCATATATTTAAAAGGCAGGAGGATTTAATGTGTTGACAACTTGACAACTCACTTTTACAATTTGAATGAGTCTAATTTCAACAGAGAATCATGTCTACTTTTAAGAATCCTAAATGACATATTACCTCTCTGAAACAGCATTTCTCAAAGCAGTCCCGCGACCATAACCAAAAGTGTAACTTATCTCTTCAAAAGGGAAGCCTACTTCTCAAAAGACCTCCAGTAAGTTAAGACTTTCTCTTACCAAGTCTGAAGTGCATAAGACATGTTTACGGCATCCCAGTAACAAAAATCACATTAACTTTAATACGTACAGTTGCCACTGTGAAATATGGATGTGCTAAGTGTGATTCCCAACCACAGCATGAAAATGTGTGGATCGGATCCAGGGACTGGACTACTGGACCTTTGTCTCCAATGCCATTCTGGATAAGATGAGAGCCTCTCCATCAACACAAATCTTAGGCCATCGTGACCAATGTGTTTCAAACTGAAATGGTTCAAAATTGAGTAAACGGATTAAATTATTGCTCTTTCCTCTATTGTAGGTTTGTCGAACATGGAGAATACAAAGACAATCTGTATGGAATAAACGTAGATTCCATTCGTACAATAATGCTAAAAAAAAAGATTTGCATATTGGATGCAAATCCAGAAGTAAGTTCTGTAGTAACTGTTGCTTACCTTAACAGTCTAAGCAATATAAATTGAGGCAGAACAATTCACAACCATGTAATATGCTTGTTCGACAAGACACATTTATTGCATCTTGGAGCTTATTTACATGAGAGCCATCTCTACAATCTTCGTCTTCCAGATTCAGTCCATTTACATTACTGGAAAGTTAAGGCCCATTGACCAATGTTAAAACTGTGCACCTGCATGGGAGTGAATTTTCAACCTAACAGTATATGAGTTCCATCTCCACATTTAAAGGTTAAAGTTTTGCCACTCGCTCACTTGGGACTAAATGTTCATGGCCGTGTAGAGACAGGGTTGACAGTGAGGAATGAGGCTGGGTGTATGAAGAGAAGGGGGAGTCTGTGTCGTGATGGCTGGAGAAGTGTTGTCAGGGTAATCCAATATACAAATCAATTGACTGCTTCATGAATGTGGTTAGCACTTCTGCCTCACAGCGCCAGCGGCCTGGGTTCGATTCCACCCTCGAGCAACTGTCTGTGCCAAATTTGCACATTCTCCCCGTGTCTGCGTGGTTTTTCTCCCACAGCCCAAAGATGTGCAGGTTGGGTGGATTGGCCATGGGAAATGCAGGGTTACAGGTTAGGGGGTGGGTCTGGGTAGGATGCTCTTCAGAGCGTCGGTGTGGACTTGATGGGCTGAATGGCCTGCTTCCACATTGTACAGATTCTACAACTCTATGAATCAAGGCTACAATTGAGGGCAACTTTTTGGGCTTGCTAGCATTTTGCCAGAACAGCATCCTGCAGCCTGGGGAGACCACCAGCTCAATGTTAACTGCATGCCTACAGTAGAGTGGAAGGTCCATCAGAGCCAGAGGCCCCATGTTGATTGAGGGGGTTGCAAGAATGAATAGATAGCTCCTAGGGAAAATAGCTGTCTTGATCTGACTCTTAGCAAATATGGACTTATCGTCCTGACATCAGGCTCCTGGAGTATGATTGATATTCGGCAGATGTACTGACTTTTAATGCATGTAGGTGCTACACTGCCTGAAACACTTCTTCGTTAGCACCCCCAAGTCTTCATCCTAAAGGGAAGTGGGAAATTTAATCTTGGGTTGCAGCCTCCCTTAGGAAACAATATTTTGAAAATTGAAGCCATGAAGCAGCCAACAGGAAACCAGATCAACTATTTGTTTTCAGATAAGATGCTCAGGAATCTCATGTAATATGAGAGTTAGGACTTGTCCTGGGGCAGAACAGGGACTAATACCTGTTTGACCTACACTCTTGGGAAAAATAAGTATTTTTAGGTCTCATCTAAATTACCAAGAAGTTTAAATTTATAGTGTGATGTAAATTCTATTTAGTCAATTCTGTTTAAAAGGAACAAAAGCAGAATGTGCTGGAGAAACACAGTGGGTATAGCAGCAGCTGTGCTCCTCCAGCCCTCTGTTTTCTTTCAGATTTCCAGCATCAGCAGTTCCTTGTGTTGATTTTTCTCTTTAAAAGAAATATTTTCTTAGTAAATAAACAAGCTAAACAAAATGCTTAAGTTATGTGTTATAATGTGTTTTAGACGTTAGCTTGTCTCAGTTGGTAATGTTGTTGGCTCTGATCAGCGTTCGGTTTAAGATCAATTCCTGGACAGACCATGCAGGGGATCATTGTGATTGTTAGCTAATATTATCCCCAACCCAATATAAGCAAAAATAGTTTATCTGTTTACTTATCTCATTGTTTATTTGTTCGGTCTTACTTATGGAAAATGTTTGCAATATTTGATGCTGCATAATATTATTAAGTACTTTTACAGCAATTTGAGACAATCAAAAAGCTGCTATATAAATGGCAGGTGTTTTAATGCACTGAGATAGAAAGCTGCCTCATATTGGAAATAACACAATTCCACAATGATACCCTTTTATATAGTTACTATTTGACTATAAATAAGTTAATCTTTTGGTCAATTTACAGACGATCAAAAACCTCAGAACAGCAGAGTTTAAACCATATGTGATATTTGTCAAACCATTCCTTCAAGAACCAAAGGCAAACACGTCAACAGCTGAAACATCAGGAAGTAACAATGTTAAAGAACTAGGTGTAAGTTCAATCAGTTCAAAGCTACGTTTGAAGGTATTTGTTAAGTTTAACTTTTACAATGTAGAGACAGAGAAGCGAATGGGAGTGGAAAGAAGCAAAACAAAACCCCTTACTTTGGTGCATCTGAGTATAAAGCATTCCACTGTAACACCAGAATGCAAGTTTTCTAACCCTGACGATGTTCTATAAATCACTTGGCAATTTCGCAGTTCACATAAAAAAAGTGTGATTTAAACATTCAGCTGGTATAATTGCTGATAGAATTCACATAAACTTCAAACCGATGTGAAAAACAGTATCCTTAATCACGTACAAATAATTTATTATTTATTGGCCTCTGATAATAATCTGTGGCCCCCATGTGGTTTCAACCTTTCTATGCTTGTGAAAAGATTTCCATTTCCAGTGGGATTTTCTGTACTTTTTAGTCTGTTTGTATTCAACATAGTATTGATCTTACAGTCAAAATTCTGTTCTCCGATTGCAGGAAGACAAGTATCAGGAAATGGTCCAGTCAGCAGCTTATATTGAAGAGCATTATGGTCATCTCATCGATAAAGTCCTGGTGAAGGGTGACCTTCAGACCACATGCAGTGAATTGAAGACAATTCTGGAGAGTATAGAAAGGGATACGTTCTGGGTACCTGCTAGCTGGGTCCGTTCGTAGCTGTACCAATCCAAAGGGAGGAGCATAATTATGGTACCACCTTCTGACCATCAAATACTAATGGGTGGCTTAAGATAGTTTATGCACATGAAGAACAAATGTATGATTACAGTGCACTCCGATTAAGTGCAGGAAATCAAACTTGGCATTATTTTTGATTACTTGTGGTGATACATAATATAAAGGAGTCTCTTTAAACAACATAAGTTATGAACACAAATTAATTCATCCGGAAATATAACAGTTCTGAAAGTAATGCTGGATTGTTGGGGATTATTTAGAGTTTCAAGCTCAATGTTAACATTTTGGGACTGGGGAGGAAAGGGAAGCAGGGTGAGGAATATTCCTTTGATATATTAGAAGCATCTCCTTCAAAGAGGTATTTGTGATCTTACTCTACCCAAACCCCAGGGAAAATCTTCTCCCAGCTGAGCCCTACTGAGTAAATAAATAATGAAGTGATCAAACCTCTGCAAAAGGGAAGTGTTGAGCAATCAGAAAACAGTTCTTATCCTTCTACTATACGTAACATGTCATAGAAATGACAGAAGTGAAACTGTAGCTAATCAGGGACAATAACGCAAATTTTATGAACTTGTACTCCCAGCAAGTAAGGCAGTCTGCCGAGCGTGAACATTTTTAAAATCAGTTTAATGCATACATACAAAGAGGATCTGCGTAAACTGTTAAATTCGGTGAAGCAGGTACAATTTACCAACAGCCATTTTGCATATTGACAATGTGTTGAATAGAAATTTTGTCGTAACTATGTCATTTCTATAAGCTTAAATATTTTTAAAATTTAGTAGTTCCCCTTATACAATTCCACTATATCAGAAATATTTAGATGCATTTTACATGTATAATTTGCCTTAATGAGGAACAAACATACAACAAACTTTCCTACCACTGAATATAAGCATCTTCACTTATGTAGAATCATCTTAGATCATTTACACCTTGACTTCATGAGTTGAAGATTTCCTCTGAAATAGTCGGGCTATATTTGATGGACACTTCTATGGCTTCCGAAACCAGGCAACCTAATTTTGAGAAACTAAGATTTTGACAAAATATCAAATTGCAATATTTGTGAGCAGATAATTTGTAACTAAAGGTTATTAAAAGTCATTACATTCATAAAATTTTCTCCATGAAAATCATCAGTCAATGGATAATTTGCCATTAATTTACTAGCATCTACAATACAATCAGCCAGATGTTTTGAACATGGATAGTAGAGAGATGATGTGATGTAGATTACACCTCACTTAGTACATACATCTTGAAAGAGCTTGCCAGTGTTATGCAGTCTGTTGCCAGGCACTGTATATTCTAGGATACTGTATAAACTGATAATAGTGCTCACTGTGTCAGCAATGGTAATTCTCATCATGCTGCTAAGTTGTTGAACAATGGGAAATTTAGGTCTGTTGCTATTTTCATTCATGGAGGAGATGGAACATCATGTGAATATAGAGGTTCCCTCCACCACTGGTATTGATATACTTGGCATGCCTCACATGCATTCACCAGTAGTTGAATATCCTGATTTATCCCTGGCCAGTACATCAATTCATGTGCGAGCCATCCTATGCATTAAATGTCCAGGTGTCCTTGATTTCAAAGGTATATGACATCCTGGTGTAATGCTTTTGATATTAGGATTTGTTTTCCCTTAAAAATGGCTTGCCATGATACATCAAGTTGGTCTCTGTGTGGTCAAACTGAACAAATTGTCTCAAGTGCATTTTTTAGGACTGTCAGGACTGTATTTTTTAGGAAAATGATCATTTGCAACTCTTGTAGTTGTTCATCTTCAGCAGTTGATGATTGTAACTGTTCACACAGGCTCTGGCCGAAGTGTATCAGATCAACCTTGGAAATGTCTTCAATTTCACAGTCTAGAGTATCAACATGTGGGTCTAGGGGAATATCTTGGTGTTTGTGTGCATTGGGTAATCTGCCCAGTGTGTCAGATGTAATTATCCTGACACCAGATTTATAACTCACCTCAAAAATTGTTTCCTTGGAGACCATTGACTAATTCAATGACATCACATAAGACGTGTTCCGCCAAAGGGTGCACAGTTTGAATCTCATGAATTGTGATCACACCAACCAGGTAGCTCTGCCACACTGTACATTGGTATGTACCAGGTAGAAGACTTCAGGAAGCCAAGATGAACTGGTGTAATGGCACTGCTGTGTCATTCTGCCAATGCACAGAATTGGTGCTCCTTTATATGCTGTGAGCTAGTCTCACATATGCAGTACACTTGCTGATGTACATGTCCTACAGCATATACAGTGATAATATGTGGGTGCGAGCCCCTCAGAGTTATAGCTTTTAATGTAAATCATCCTTTCAGGACATATGATATTAGTGGTTGTAAAGGCTTCTGATTGCCCACACTGTTGGCATAGTGTGTGAGGTTAACGCAAGGAAATGGTGGTCATCTTCTGAAATTTGCCTCTTGCATGGTTGGATCTGAAATTCAGCTGACTTTTCATTTGTGGAACATTTAGCACTTGCCTTGCTGCCAGTGTTGTGTTGGACTGTCTTGTTGATCAGCTGTGATTTGTACTGGACTCTGGCTTGGCCTTTGGAAGCAGATTTCTTGCATATGGATGCTCAATGTCCCTTGATGCTACATACTTTACAGATAAAGAAAAGCTAGAAAGCTTTCAGGTTAGTGCAGGAAACGCATTTTTACAGATTTTGTTAGTGTGATGTGTATTCCTAACCATGCCTGTGTCAATGTGTGTGTTTGGTGTTGGCCATATCTATTGCATAGACAACTGCTATAATAGCTTCACACATCATGTGACTCATCAATTGAATAACTTTTTGTTGCTCAAGATCGTTCTTAAAAGCTTTAATTAATATAGAAGCCCTGCTGAATTCAATTAATGTCTCTGACAGCTCATCTGCAGAAATGTCACATTCTTGAGGATGCAGAGATCCTTCAGCATGATCTCGACAGGTTGGGTGAGTGGACAAATCAATGGCAGATGCAGTATAATTTGGATAAATGTGGGGTTTTTCACTTAGGAAGCAAAACCAAGAAGGCAGATTACTACCTGAATGGCTGTAAATTGGGAGAGGGGAGTGTGTAGCAGGACCTGGGCATCCTTGTGCACCAGTTGCTGAAGGTAAGCTTGCAGATGCAAAAGAAGGCAAATGATATGTTGGCCTTCATTGTGAGAGGTTTCGAGTACAGGACCAGGGATGTTTTGTTGCAGTTGAGACCACACAAGAAATATTGTGTGCAATTTTGGTCTTTTCTGAGGAAGGATGCTCTTGCTCTCAAAGAAGTGCAGCGAAGGTTTACCAGGCTGATTCCAGGGATGGCGGGTCTGATGTATGAGGAGAGATTGACTAGGTTGGGATTGTTTTCACTAGAGTTCAGACGAATGAGGAGGGATCTCATAGAGACTTATAAAATTCTAAAAGGACTAGACAGGGTTGATGCAGGGAAGATATTCCCAATGGTGGGTGTGTCCAGAACCAGGGGTCACAGTATGAGGATTCAGGGTAGATCATTCAGGAAGGAGATGAGGAGTCACTTCTTCACCCAAAGAGTGGTGAGTCTATGGAATTCATTACCACAGAAAGTAGTTGATGGGAAAACTTTGAACGTATTCAAGAGGTGACTAGATATAGCACTTGGGGCGAATGGGATCAAAGGTTATGGGGAGAAAGCAGGATTAGGCTATTGAGTTGGGTGATCGGCCATGATCGTGAAGAATGGTGAAGCAGGCTCAAAGGGCCGAATGGCCTCTTCCTGCTCCTATCTTCTATGTTTCTATGTTTGAAAATTTTCCTGATCTTTTCTGGATCTTTCTGTTCGAAACCTCGGGGATGTGTTAATTCTGCAAAGCCTTTCTTTGCGAACTGGCTCATCTATTGCTTGACTTATAAAGAAGAACTGCGTACATTGTTTTAATAGTTTCAAATTCAGTGAAGGTGTCACTGGATTCTGTCCAATCCACTGAGGTTTCTGCTGTCCTGCTATCTATAGTATGTCAGTACTCTCAGAAATTGATGCTGCTGATTGTCCAAAACTTTTTATATAGTTAGTCTTCAATTAGTTTTGCAAACATCTGCCATAAAGACGGCCATTTATGATGCAATTTTGCCTTCTGCAGGATATTTTGCTTGCAGCAGCAGTGTTTATGTTAGCACTTGAACACAACTATCTGGATATCTGGTACTGAAGAATCTAACAGCTGTTTACTTCAGCTAACTATTATAAACAAACTTTAGATTATAATTGAGCAGCACGTATCCAGTTGCATGTTATGCTTCAAGTGATCGCTTTGTAAGATGGACTGTGAGAATTTTATACCCTCAGATCACATGCTATGATACAATAATTGTATCATGAGCATGACTCAAAGGTATACTGACTGAGAGATACAACATAACAAATTACACTCAAGGTATGTCCAGTGTCAAACAATAGGAGGAAGTGATTCCAAGGTTAGAACAAAGTCCTTTAATTCAGATCATGTACGAAACACATGAAACAATTTATCTCTTTGCCAATGTGCTATATTTAATGACAGATATCTTTATCTTGGAAAGTGAACTTCCATAAAGATCTTATGATTAACAAGGATCCATTCTAATTCAGGTCAAATAAATGGCAAATTCGGTACGCAACACAATTTTAAAAGGCTGTTTTAATAATTGTCACAATTCCCACTTTCCTCTTGTTACATTACTTATCTCAGCTAAACCCACAAATTAGTTAAGGTTGCCTCTGATCAATGTGAAACACAAAGTGGCATTTTCTTCATTGCATCCTATCTTTTATATATTGATACAGCACTGGACACTGAGTGTTGGAGGGGTGAAACAACAAAGGAACCTGAGCACAAGGGAGTGAAAATAGGTCATTAAGCACAAGGGAAGTACAGGTTAAGATAGGTTAAGATTCATCACCTGGAATGGGGTGATCTGTGTATCTTTGGACTGTTGGAGGAAACCGGAA